ATGTCCCCAAGTTGACGGAAGAATCATGTTAGATGCTGCCGAGTGCCCCAAAGATCCAAATGGCTCCACTGCTCTGAGTGCCCCACAAAGGCCATCTGGAACAACTGGTGACCACAGAGGCATTTTCAACCGAGACGCGATCTGCGGGTAGGCCCTGACGAGTTCGTGTACAAAGATCTTCGAATGTCAACCTACAAAAGCCCTTGATACTACCAAGTGGAAAGTGGCAGAATTGACCGTGTCAATGTCAACACATGTCAACACTAAACCCTCCCAAATTCACCAGATCTAAAAAATCCGCCAACTCCAACCGTTACCGACTGGATCCGACTGGACTAGCTCATCATGCCCATCCCATTATCAAAAAATGATGAACGACTGGATGCCTCATTCATCCAGCCGGCCACATCCGCATCGGTGGCCAGGACCGTCAGGGGATCGATGTTGTTGGTCATTGGAATTTCCCGTTCTGGGCGCTGGTTGAATTTGGCAAGAGGTTCATCGGGAAATTCAGTTGTTGAAACGCCAAAATGAAAATAATGAGATCCATCTGCTGAATCTGTTTTCACCAATTTTCACTATATTATCCAATTTTTTGTCAAGCCAACAAAGAAATCAAACAGCACATCTAGACCGCCGAGTCTCGTTTCAGATCGGCGGTCCACACATTCTGCCACAAGTCCTGTCAAGGAGCAACCAAGGAAATTCAGGTCGTGGCAATCCAACTGTTGAAGCATTGAATCAACAGCTGAAGAAGTGAATCACTCTTGATTTACTGGATAATCTGCTAATATCTGTTGTGATTGCATGTCTGTTTATTATGTGAGATACGCCCGAATCAGCAGAAACCAGCTGATTTTGGACAGCATCAACTGGTTGCAGTAGCAGTTGGTTACAGTATCCTTGCACTGTTGCATACATCCTCACGTTCATCCCATGTTTATCCCATGTTGTGTTGCTTAAACTCCAGTTGTGCGGTTCATATCCCCATGGTCGGAACTCATAAATTCGCAGTGATCAAGTGCATTAATTTCAAGGGAACAAAAATGCTGAAAATGATGTTCATGCAAAAGCCCTGGGTTTTGGGGGTTCCAAGTGTTTGGACTTGGTGGTTGCCTGCCGGAGGCGTGCGGAGAAGGGTGAAGCGTAGCCGACAAAGGCACTGGCCAACATGCAGTTGCCTCCAGGGATTCACTGATGCAACAGTTGAACCATGTTGAATCATATATCTGTAGCTATCTGTAGCTGATTAAACTGCCCGGCAATCGATAATTCCACATGCGTTTTCTGGCGAATCACCCATGTCACCATGTCATGTTGTTGATCAAGAAGTAATACTGGGCAACAATCGAGTTAGTAAAACTGGGACAGAACTAATGCAACCTAATACAATACAACCTTCGTGTTGATGGGTTGGTAGGACTTCTGGACAACATTTGGTGACACCAAGATCCCAACACTTTCTACACGGAGACCATGCCTATGAGCCGCAGAGAGAGCTGGCGTAGGTCCACCACAGTGTTGGCCCAACCTCGAAGCAAAAATGCTGAGACAAAAGTGGCAAACAGCTGAGATTTGAAAAGGACCATGGTGAAACCCATGTTTTACTTGCCAAGTCTAGGAAATTTCAACCTCATCCCCTGCGAATCATGATCTCCTACCTCCCACACCTCCCAAAATGAGTAAAACTCAGAGGTATTCATCATGTATTCATCTCCAGTATTCCCAACTCCCACTTCCCTCTGAGTTTCTGAACGTTCATTCTCATCTGCCAGGCCCGAAACCAAGCGTTGCGCAGTATTCAGCTTCTGCACACAGCTTGCAGCCTGGCAGGTGCCAAGTCGCCAAAAATGGATTTTCCCGCCTTTGACTTTAATGCCGTGTCACAGCGGTAGAGACAACCAGCTACGCGTGAAGTCCCCACCAATGATTGTGATCATTAATTTAAAACAAAAAAACACAAACAAAACCAACAAAAAACAACAAATTCAGGGGTGACGACGAGACACACCATGGGACAGTCGAATGCACGGATGCAAAATGACAGATGCCGGATCGAATGCAAATGAATGCATCCTCCCAGGGTGGATACACAGGTGCCGATCTGTGTGTCCACTAAGGACGGAATGGCATACACATTTTCCTCTTTTTCCCCATTGGGGTGACAAAAATAGAATGTAGTTTTTGATACGGCAGGGCACCGGTGGTTAAAGATGCAGTCAGTTTAACAGCAGGGACCCAAAAACTATTTCCAAGATCCTTCAGGGCGCCTGATTGCGAGACACATTCACCAGGGAAGATAGGACACTGGTGGTGACGGGTCCAGTTAACAATACGGTTCCAAGTAAAACTTTGCTGTGAAAGTTTAAACTCAGTTTCAGCATATTCCAAGTTCTGATCAACAAGATAATATTGGCATTTGGCTGATTTTTTTCCCTTAGGTTTGACTGGAAGGGGTACTATGGTTTTTGTATATAATGCAAAGTCTATATATAGTTCCAACATGGCTGTTGGCCTGGATTCCACATTGGACCATTGCAACAACTGTGCCCAGCTGCTCAACCTATTCCAAAAAATTTCACCAAAAGGCCAATTTTCAGGGCAGGCCTGGGGCACATGATGGACAAAGAACGGACCAACGGGGATACGTGTTGTAAAATCGATGACGGCATCAGGTTGAATCTTAATCGGGGAATCCGTGACCTTGGATGCCATGTGCTTAACAAAATTACAATATTCAATCAGGAATTCTTGTTTTTCTGCCGATATGGCATAATGGCTAGAAGCTTTTGCAAACGTGGGATTCCAATCAAGGAGGGCTTGCTTCGCATAAGCGTCTACAGTATTATTTGCCATTGCTTGTCATTTCAAAAAAGGGTCGTCAATACTCTCAACATCAGTATGGGCTTTAGTCTTGGTCGCCAAAAATGGATGGCATTCCTTGTGAACATGGCCGGCTTGATTTTGATTTAACCATCAAAAATGGGGATGTAACTGGCGGAAAATGGTGCTGTTATGTGCTGTTCCTGGAATGTATGGGTTTGTCCAAAATGGATCAATGGATTGGATTCGATATACTCGCAATATGTGGCCATGAATCATGGGGAAAATGAAGTTCTACACCACGCAGTTTTGGAGGCAGCCTGGGCCAGCGCGACTGTTTCCCCAAGATGCATTTTTTTTACGCGGGATTAACCTCCCCAAGTGTACAGTCATCTGAAATAATTCAAATCATTTCAATTTGGATTGATAAAGTCCATTCCCATTATCCATCATTATCCCATTCTGGCACATGAAATTATATGAAATTCCATCCATGTCGCGCCTGTCTCTCCATGGCCTCCTTGTCATTGATTGCATCATTCAATTGGTTGTCCAATTGCGCACACTCCGCCTGAATTCAGTGAAAAAAACATCTGCAAACCGCCCAAGAAAAGTGTTTGTTAAAGGATTGATGGGATGTTCAATGGGATAAAAACAAAAGTTGAGATTGGACCATTGAATCGGCGAAAGCTGGTGCTTTGTCAACTGAAACTGCAAAGGTTCATCCGATTTTCCGATTCCGAGCCTCAACGGCTTCCACTCTCTTCTCCACCTACAGGGATGCTGCCAAAATCCCAAACATGTTAAGAATTTGATGAGTTTGATGAATTTTGAAGAACATAATTTTATGAGAATCATCATGAACGGGATGATCCGATGCCTCAGAATATTTTTCAATGTTTATCTCAAAAAAAAGACATCTCCGGAGCCTCCCGCAGCTGCAACTTGGCATTTTCCGTGGTCTCCTGCGCCACCTTCACCTTTTCGATCAGCGGGGCCACCTTGCCGCCCAAATCCAGGGATTTCTGGTGCCCAAATCTTGGCAAAAAAATGAGGTTAAACATCTTCGCTGCAACCTGGACGTTTGCCCGGAGTTGATGTCCCGCAATCAACGTAGTGTTCAGAGGGGGTGGCTAATTTTGATCCCTCATGAAGATAAAGTTGATGTTGTTAGCCCGTTCAGCATATTGGTCATAGGGGGTGGCGGATTTTGTTCCTTCATGAAGATAATGTTGATGTAATTACGAGATTCAACATTGGCCATAGAGGGTGGCGTGTTGTTAGCCTGTTCAGCATATTGGTCATAGGCGGTGGCGGATTTTGATCCCTCATGATGGTCGGGTGATATGTTTTGATCATGAAGATAACTGTATTCAAGGTATCTTTCACATGCCACCGTGGCCTAATTTCCCCCCTTGGCCTTGCTTGGATTCGCAACTTCCCATCAACACAGAATTGTCTCTGTTATGTCACAATGATGAGTCTGGGCGAACGTTAAGGTTGCGGACAACATCTTCAAACTACTTGGGGGAGACACCTTGGCCACAGAGGGTATATATGTATGCCCCAAATCTAGTGTGGATCAACATATTCACATTGCCGTAATGGGATGCAATGGGCATTTTTGGGGGGAATGCCCCATGTTCAGGCACACAGCCGTCTTTAATTTTCGCGCATCTCTTGGTACGTGGTGGTTTCACAAGTGAAACTGCTGGACTGAAGTTGTACTGAAACTGTCCTTTCCATGGATTCCCCTGGCAACTTGGCAGTGGAAGATCAGAATGTTTTGGAGGTGATGTTCTCATGAGTTTCCAATGAAAATGGGGATTCTTTGGCCAAGTGTCACCAGGAAATTGTCAACACAGGCTGGAACTGCTTTCCGTGTCAACATCAACATCATGTCTAACTCTACAGCGGCTCAGCTGTCAGCTATAGCGCCTTCCCTCTGATACACACTCTTGCTGTTTGAAGTTTGGTGATGTTTCTTTGAAATTCTATGAAATCACCAGTGAATTCCTCAAGTTCGGTTTAAGTCCCGATTTTGGATGGTGAAATCCTTTCCTGATGAAAGTGAGTAGAGGGAAGGCCCCTGGACAGCTGATCACAGCTGCAAACTGTTGCAAGATCTTCAAGGCTTGACTACTACGCGACATAGCTCAGGGATGACGCGAAGGCTCCGTGTCGGGCGTCACAACAAGACCCGATAAAATCACAACTGCCGTCAGATTGCTGGGCTGTAGACCATGAACATAGTAGAATAAGGTATTGAACTCACACGAAAGCTCACTCGCTTCAACACCAGCGATGCAATTGACTGTGCTTTGCAGGGAACGAGGGGACTGGAAGAAGTGAGCCTACCGGAGCACCAGAATATACAGAATTGTGGAAGTTGCTTGCGGGAAAAACAAAAAGTTTGTTGTTTAAACATACGCAAGTTACATCGATTTATAAACTCAATCAAATCGATGGTTTTCCTCCCATGTTCCACTACGCCAAACGTTTGACTCAAGATCGGAGGAATCCTAAAGCTTGAATGGCGCCACCATTGATGGCTCCGCCAAGAAAGCACGAACTTTGTGGCGGTGGTTCTCCTATGTAGCCAGTTGTTCCTCAAAATGAAAGCTAACCCCTCCATTGGTGGGGAAAGGACATCTATGATTCAAATGTTTGCCGCACATGAGGCAGTTCGGCACCTAATTTGGGTCCAGCATGGTTTGTCTTTCAGCAACATCCAGCTTGTAGTTGCTTGGGGCTGTCACCTATAATCCACACGATCGTATAAGGCCTTGAGCATGGAACTTAAACATGTCACAGTTATAAGGCTGATTCATCTATTGAAATTGACACTTCTCCAAAGATGCTGCCCTTCAGTGCTGTTGGACGGTTCTCTAGCAATTGCCAATGCTATCCAGCTAGCCAGCAAACATCCATGATTCTGCAAACTCAAGTATGTGTATATATATATATAATAAATTTATTTATTAATATATGCAGCTATTATATAGATAATATATTACATTATATACATGAATAATAAATATATCAATATATATATATATATTATATTAAGTTATATCATGTTATATAAAATTAAGTTATATTATATTAAATTATATTCAATTGTATTCCATTATATTGAATTATGGAACATCATAATATATGTATATATATTATACTGAATATTATTATATCAGAAAGGACTGTTGTGGCCGCCCAAATCTCACACTTAATATGTATAAAGAATACTTCTTGTGAGATTTGGGTGTCACAACATTCCCTTCCGATAACTTGTGTGTTGATATCTGTTCAAGCCCCAAGGATTAATCTGGATTAATCTGGGACCAAAACAAAAAAAAAACAATGTTTTCAGGACTACTTGGATCAGGGCTATCTTTAGACTAGTCTCCAAAACATTGTTTATTTTGTTTTTTTTTGGTTTTTTTGTTTTTTTTTTTTTTGTTTTTTTGGTCCCAGATTAATCCAGATTAATCCAGATTAATCCAAGCTAATCTACGATCATCAGATCTATTTAACATTTAAGTACTAACATGTGGTTGGCTAATTTTCTATATTCTCTGGTCATCTGCCTTTATTGGCTTTTAGCGCCGCTCTCTCTGTGTCTGGTCTTCTGAAGCAAGTTAATCTAAGATCATCAGATCTATTTAACTACTAATTTCCAACATGTGGTTAGCTAATTTTCTATATTCCCTGCTCATCCATCAAATATAGGCCATGTCGTTTGAATCCACAAGTAAGCATTAGCACATGGAAGTTTCCTCAAGTAAGGATCCATCAAATATATACCATATTGTTTGAATCCACAAGTAAAGATTGGCACATAGAAGTTTCTTCAATTAAGGATCCATCAAGTGACCCTCCAAACAAAGCCTGAGTACTTTATGCCAGGCGCAGGTTCATGTAAAGATCATATCATTGTCTTTTTACCATTTTGGGACCAAGCATCCATAACATTTGAAACATGCTTCTTTGTTGCAGGCAAAAACCTGGGGATACTTGAAACAGTTTTGGATTTTCCATATACATTTTTCCAATAGTGGCTAGCACTTCAATCTCTATATGTTCACTGACAGTTTCCTCCAAAGATTCTTACTTGAGATTTACATGTGATGCTCTTGGATCTGTACAAATGCTTACTTGTGAATACAAAGAAGTTTATTGTTTTGTTTAAAACCTCTTGACTTGAGATTTACATGTGATGTTCTTGGACCTGTACAGATGTTTACTTGTGAACACAAGCAGAAACTTGTATTGTCCTGCCTAAAACATCCTTACTTGAGATTTACATGTGATGTTCTTGGATTTTTGTGGTATATTAGAGCATCTTTACTTGATATTTACATGTGTAGGGGATGATCTGGGCCTGTACAGATGTTTCCTTGTGAGCCAAAAGAATCTTTTATGGTTCCTTGAAACCTCTTTACTTGAGATTTACATATGATGATCTTGGATCTTTAGAGATGCTTACTTACTTGTGAACAGAAATAACCTTTTATGATTCTTCAAATCATTTTTGTAAACAAGTGCACTGGGCCTTTGCACTTGCAATTGTTTCAAAGTTTTGGGAAAGGAAACAAGTTGCTGGCATTGCCAGTTTTGATTGCATCACACTATGAATTTTATATGTCCATATTGGTGTCCAAAGGTTTGGGAATCAGTGGAATCAAGTCCAAATGTATAATCAAAATCCTTAAAAACCACATGTCAGCCCTTGAATTTTCATATAACTTTTGTATGAAGTTTATATGCAGTTTATATGCAGTTTATATGCAGTTTATATGCAGTTTCAAAACTACATGTAGTTTATATGCAGTTTTGACCAAACTACATGTAGTTTATATGCAGTTTTGAAAACTGCATATAAACTGCATATAAACTACATATAAACTGCATATAAACTGCATACCAAAAATCTACAGATTTTGAATGATTTTGACATGCCTGGAAAGCTGAAAGCTTGAGATTTTGAACTGCTGCTGCAAGAAAATTTGTGATTTTCAAGGATGACAACTTAGAAAGTAAAAGTATATATACACATGCAAGACCTTTTAGGCAGACCACTAGCTGAACCAAAGATACTTTGATGAAATGAACCTGAGGGCCATTGCTGCTAAAGTTTCAGATCCTTTTCAAAACTTGGTAAAGGCTGCAAATAATGTTTCTCACGAAATAATTTCATATGTGTCCCATGACATTTGTCAAGACTGCCTGGAACTTACCAAATAAAATTGCAAGACATTTGGCTAAACAATGGTTCAAGAGTTATTCATGACTTTTTTGTGTAGGTTTCCCAGTGAAATAGTTCATGGTTAATTAAAAACTTGACAACAATAGTTAAAAAAGAGGCGGCCACAACAGTCCCCTCCCTATTATATATGTTATACTATAACAGTTATAATTATTTTTATATAATACAATAAATATGATATATACACTTACTCGAAGTGCAACTGGCAGTGGTTCGGAGGCACTTCTTCCAACCACAGAAAAAGTGGCACCAGTCCTCTCTGCGCATTGAGAGTGCTGATCAGTCCCGACTATGGCAGACACAGGTTGATGAATTCTGATATCTTTTTAGATTGCGAATTACGTGACTGGGTGGCCGGGTGGTGACGACTCTCTCTCTCTCTCTCTCTTTGTTCGACTTTGTACCCAGTAAACCCAGTTTTGATCCATATCTGTCAGTCAACATCTCAGGACAGATACGCGAAAACCAATAGATTGCATCATATTACAATATGTTTGAAAGACTGGGCTGTAATTCTTTGTAAATCACTATATAACATGTGTACATAAACAACTCTACACATGCACATATATATATAATTATATACGTATATTATATACCCCGGGGCAAACTAACATAGATGTGGAAATCGCCATTTTGAAAGATCATCCACCCATAAATGTGCAATTTTCAACATCTATGTAAGTTATTGGCTTATTGGTAGTTTACCCTGGGATCCCTGGGGTACTCATGTGTTGATGCATGTCGAACTTTGGTTCTACTTAACCCCCCGCCATTGGCCGTTGATAGGCCATCATTGTGGGGAAGGGTCAAAATTAGATCTCCAATGACCCACAAAATACTGATCAACTTTTAGTATGATACCGTTCCTTTGGTGGGATCATATTCATCATAATTTCGACCCGTAGCCCGTAGCCATGCGGCAGGAACGAGCGTAACTAGCAACCTTTGCGGCCGACATTGATTAGTTGCCGTTGCCTAACAACCGAAGTTGCTCTGTGGGGGAAGTCGCTATCGCAGTCAAATGCTTTCCTGGGACGAGTCTTCTGGTGATCAAACAGATCACACCATAGGAATCTGACCAACAAACATATGCACTGGTTGGTGGTTTCAACCCCTCTGAAAAATATTAGTCGGTTGGGATTACTATTCCCAATATATGGGAAAAATGTTCCAAACCACCAACTAGATTGGTTAAAGACAAATTGAAATTTGCCCAACAAAACTTAAAAGGATATAACGGAGACAACAAACCGATTTTGGATCGCAAAATGAAAGTTGGAAACAGAATCATTACAAGTACACGGGGAATCTTCCAGCATGCCATATTTCTTTAAGAGAGGGTATAGTTGTTGCATATTGTTGCATCATATTGCAGTACACTCAACAGAAAGATCGAAACAATTTAATGTGTCGTCCTGATTTGTGTGTCCCCCCCTCCCCAAAACCATAGCTATACCCTCTTTAAAGTTGGGTGCCAAAAAGTTGTTACCCAGAAAAAAGAACCGCACTCAAGGATTTCAATTGGCTACAATTGAAATCAAATTATATAAAACGTTTTTTTGGTTGATGAACTTGTGATATTTGTAGTACTTGTAGCACTTGTAGTACTTTTAGTGAGTGGGGTTCAGCATGTTGATTGCGTTACCTTTTCCACCATAAGTTTTGTTTTAACGAAAAAGTAGTAAGAGGAAGAGAAAGAAAAAGAGCAAGGGAACGAGAGAAAGAGAAAGAGAGAGAGAGAGAGACGAAGAGGAAAAAGAAGAGGAAGAGGAAGATTAAGAGGAACAGAGAGAGAGAGAGGAAAAGAAAGAGAAAGAGAAGGAAAAGAGAAAGAAAAAGAGAAGAGAAAGAAAAGGATGCTTTTGGAAAAGGCCTACCTTTCTTCTCTTGGCTCCAGGATCGGCTCTGGACAGGTTTGCTGCAATTGTGAACCCTGAGAAAAACTTGCAATAGTGAACTGGGCCCTCTCATGGCCCAGTGCCTTGGAAATTTGTGGAAAAACTGTTCTTTAATTAAGAGCTTAATAAGCGGTCTGATTCCTTTGGGACAGGGAGACAAGCAAGATTTTTTCCAGAAAGAATGTTCAGATGTTTTTAAACGAACATTTTTTTGACAAAAAAATGGTATCCCAAAAATTCTTGCCACAATAGCGAACCTACCAAACAATGCATGGGTTCAGAATAATTTGGATTTGTTTTTGGCACAATAGCGAACCTAGACACTAATTAATAATTAATCAGGATACAACATATTCAAATATTTGAACATATTTGAAACGCTGGGATGTGGATGTCTTCCGATGTCCATGTCCATCATGACCAATGGTTCCAATGGTCCCATTCCATTCCTCCCTGAAATCAGCTCCCAGATGCTGATCAGTTCTCGGACATAATGCTCCTTCTGTGCCTCCTCCTGAAGATGCTCGTGCACTTCATAGAGATTTGCTGCATTGAAATACTTGGCCAGGCGTCTCTGGATGCGCTTGCGTGCCGTGCCACGGCGTGTCTTCGTTGACGGAAGTCTCACCTGATCCGCATGGATGGAGTGAGAGAAATTGCAGAACTGGCCCTTAGCACATCTGGTGAGGTACGAATGGAAGAGGCACGGAAACTCTCTGTGATCTTGAACATCTTGATGATAATCTTGATCAGCAACCTCCTGAGGGGTTGGATCTGGAAGGTCCTCCTGAATCACGGGTTCCGTCTCCTCATCTGATCCAGAGTGTCCAGACTGCCCCGACGACTGCATGGATTCCCTCTCGGATGAGAGATCCCAAAGACTCTCGTTCACATGTAGGACCCATCCTCCAGGACTGACAGCGAGCAATATCCAATCTTTCTGAATTATGATGTTTCATCAACCTGAATCTAGGATCCAAATTCATCAATGATTTCAGGTATTGTGAATTCAGTTTTTTTTATGCCCAATATCTCTCGCGAATCATGATTCTGTGGCTTTCCCGTGGCAGTACTTGTCATATCTTGTCATCATAAATCTTCTGGTGAGGTTTCTGCCGGAAACTTCCTACAGCCGGGCCCACTGACTTGTCAAGCCAAGCCATTCGTAATAAATGAATCACTGGGGGAGAATCATCCCAAAAACTGAGGTGGACGTAGCCATTGGTGTAATAGAGATACTGAGGATCCATTCTTTTGACATTTTGACGTTTTGACCAAATGTCCATACCCAAAAAAGCAGACTAGCTTGCAGGTGCCAAAAATCTTTGTGACCTCTGATTATTTGGTAAGGAATCCACATGATCATGGAAACCTATGGGTAACCCCCAGAGTCATCACCCACAAAAGAAGTAAAATATAAGTGGTGATGATCACCGCAGCGAGGATCGAAAGTCAAATGCTTACGACCACCTAAGAGTCTCTGATACCCTCCGATAACGTGGCAATTGACAAATCCACCATTTAGTTCCTTGATGTTCCTATAAAAACCTTCATTTTTAGGGGATTCCAATTACCATGTTTGATTACTGGAGGGTACTTCCCATGTTTGCATCATTACATATCTCTCACCCCTCGCCTGTGAATGTAGAAGCTGGTGAAGCTGATTCGCTTCCGTTCGGATCCACCACTGAACGACTAGCTTCGGACATCAAGAATTACCTTGGGAATGGCTCGACATGAATTGATTGCCACAGAAAGCGGATAGTTGCACACTAAACATGATCAAAAATGAAGGATCGAAGGATGTTTGGGTTGTAAATATTTACAAGAATAGACAAAAATCTAAAAATAATGAAATCTGTGGGCCCATTGGTGCCCATAGCTATTTGAAACACTCACCATCTGAAAACGCCCTCGCATCCTGAAACGAATGACTCTCAGCAAGTGACCAATTGTCAGTAAAGAAGAATGTTTTCTGGAATAATTTGCTGTAGAGTCGAGAAACTGACAAACATGTTGTGAGTTGGAGTTGGGCACTTTGGTTCTCATTTTTCGCAAATGGATGTGAACATTATGCGGTTTTGGACAGGGAGAGAGATAGAGAGGCCCATTGTATCATTTGTCGAGCAGTTTCAGATATATAATTTTGTGTTGATTCTATGGCTGGGAGCACGGTAGCACTGGCATCCCAAAGGACTATCCGACGATCCCATGAAGGGGCACTCACCATGACCAGAGGTCAGGCCCAGCCGTGGCACGCTTGTCTCGCTTCTTTCTCCTCAAAATGCTCTGGAACTATCTGGAACTACCGGCCGCGCACGAGCCAAAGCGTGACGGTCGGTCCAATAGCCAGAGTTCGGGTGACAGCAAAGCTCAGATTCTGTTGCTGAAACATCTCGTATAGTCTTATTGGACATTATATTATATATTATCTGGTTGGTGGTTGACCTACCCCTCTGAAAAAAAAAAATCGTCAGTTGGGATGATTATTCCCGATACATGTAAAAATAAAACATGTTCTAAACCACCAAACAGATTATATGTATGTATATATTATATTATATATATAGGTGATTATAGGTGTTGCTCAAGATCAGTGTAGCCATAGATGCCATAGCCCAAACCCGCAGGGTTCACCATTACCGACCAACGGTTCTGTATCCGGCCCAGGCCCATTGCAATTGTCAGGAATGAAGTGGTGACAATTGATATCCCCCGTACATAAGATGTATATGTATATAATTAAGTTAAAAAAGTACTTTACTTCGAGTGATCCCCGCCCTGGCATTTCAAGTCATATATTCTGACATATATTTTGACATTTTACCTAACATTCTATCTAACATCTATTCTGATATTCTATCTGGCATATCTTCTAGCATGTTATCTGGTATATATTTTGGCGTTCTATCTGGCATATATTCTGGCATATATTCTGGCATTCTATGTGGCATTCTTTCTCGCATATCTGGCATTCTATGTGGCATATATTCTGGCAGTCTATCTGGCATATATTCTGGCAGTCTTTCTGGCATATATTCTGGCATTCCATCTGGCCGCTGAGGTCCAGCGGTGCCCACTGAGCTCGGAAGGTCCCAGGTTGAGGTCCAGCGGTGCCCACTGGCCTCGGAAGGTCCCTGGTTGAGGTCCAGCGGTGCCCACTGCGCTCAGAACCTTGCGGTTGAGGCCCAGCCGTGCCCACTCAGATCGGAAGCCGGCAGTTGAGGTCCAACAGTGCCCACTGCGCGCGGAAGTTGGCGAAGAGATTGGCGAAGAGTTGGCAAGGCGGAAGTGGGCGTGGAAGTGGAGGCAGAGGTGGTGGAGGAGAAGGAGGAGGACGAGGAGGGGGTGGAGGAGAAGGAGGAGGAGGAGGAGCCGGAACAGCTGTGATAACATCTAACAACCCTCACCTGGCAGGTGGGGAATAAATATTATATATATGAATATATTTGCGTCTTCATCGCCAAACCAAGTAATCTGATGTAATCTGGCCTTACCAGTCCCAGTATGTCCCAGTCTCGCCTTAGACCTCAGTTAACCGAGGCTGGGTGTCTCGAAGCGGCCAATGGTGCGGTTGAACGTCCGAAAGTGGTCCGAACGTGGTGTGCTTTTCACATTTTGACTTCGGCGTGTGCTTCGCGCCGCAATAGCGTGCACTTTTTCGACATCTTAACTTCAAAAAGTGCTCCGAGACCGCTAGTTTTTAACACTTTTGACCTGCGAATGTGCTTCGTGCCAAAACGGCGTGCACTTTTTCGACATCTGAACTTTGAAAAGTGCCCTGAGACCTGAGGCGCTTTGCGCATTTTCACTTCGAAATGTGCTTCGCGCCACAACGACGTGCACTTTTTGAACATCGCAACTTCCAAAAGTGCTCCGATGTTCTTTTCACATTTTGACTTCGAAATGTGCTTCGCGCCGCAACCACGTGTAGATTTTGGACATTTCAACTTCCAAAAGTGCTCCGAACATGGTGTTTTTTGCACATGTTGACTTGGAAACATGCTTCGCGCCACAGCGGTGTGCACTTTTTCGACATCTGAATCTGAACTTCCAGAAGTGCTCCTGACGTCACATGTGCTTCGTGCCACAACGGCGTACAATTTAGCGAGCGTACTTTTCGACCCTCCGGAGCCACAAAACATTGTAAAACAGTGTTTCGCGACTTTTCTACCTTTTCGCGCACCTGCATCTTCTTTCTACTGATTTTTTCTCTTCTCTGACTCTTCCCACCTCTGCTTTTCCATCTGTCCAAAGTGTCGGAAGTTTGACTTCTAAACTTCCTTCAAATAGTTTATTTGTTTGGGAGAGATGCCTTAAAGCATCTTCGCTGCAACCTGGACGTTTGCCCGGAGTTGATGTCCCGCAACCAACGTATTGTTCAGAGGGGGTGGCTAATTTTGATCCCTCATGATGATAAAGTTGATGTTGTTAGCCCATTCAGCATATTGGCCATAGGCGGTGGCGGATTTTGATCCCTCATGATGGTCGGGTGATATGTTTTGATCATGAAGATAACGGTATTCAAGGTATCTTTCACATGCCACCGTGGCCTAATTTCCCCCCTTGGCCTTGCTTGGATTCGCAACTTCCCATCAACAAGAATTGTCTCTGTTATGTCACAATGATGAGTCTGGGCGAACGTTAAGGTTGCGGACAACATCTTCAAATCTGTTTCAAAGGGTGATCCCAAAATATCCCTACCATGATGAATTTGCTTCGAATACCTAATTTTCAAGCTCAGAGGAATTCTTGGAAAGCATCACTGCAATGGCGCAACTGCAATCTGCCTTGGTGTAGATCTTGTTGTAGGTGACAATGTTCACCACCTGCGCGGGTTGCGTTCCCGGAACGGCCCGGAACGGCCGATCAGAGCGGAGGCAGAACCGCTCCGACACGCTCCGAGTGCGGGACCCAATTGGTGAGGTGAGCTGCCGCCAGGCTCTTGCTCTTCATCGACTCGAAATTCAGATTACCTCGGCTCTGCTCAGCTGGGTTCACAACTGGGATTGATGTGAAACACGACCTCCAAATATCAATATCTGCAGTTTCCAAACCACCTCCAGTACCACAATATCTGCCAAAATATGCCAAAATGATCTTGAAAATCTCTTTTAAAAAATAAATCACCAGAAATTTACCACCAAATACTGGTGGCACAATTTCAACCCAGTCACCGATCAAGGGTTCCGTGTTTGCCAAGACCTGCGGCCGCAAGATGCAAAACATATATATGATCTGTTTCAACAGTTTCCACACTTTTGATGGTTTCGTTGATTTAGTTTCCATCACCCTGACTTCTTCTGGAAAACAAAGCATCTGCGACATCTGAAACCGGCCTGCTCCGGGATATGTTCAGCATCAAAGTTCTTCACGTCATCAATGAACCTCAGTTCATCCATGGAACGTCACAATCCTAATATTCCATTGTTCTGAAAGGTGGATGCCCAAATTCCAGCGATTCACCTTGCGGATGGGACCCCCTCTGAGCGAAAGAACTGTTGAGGTGACTTCATCATCAGTTGGCACTCCTTCCAGCCAAGCTTTCGCTTCTCCTGGGCCCAGGATTTGTGAATCCAACGTTATCTCTGCATCCCCAATATCTCCAAGCCCATCTGATGTTAATCCCATCTACATCGCCATGTTCCCCTTTTTCCATCTTTTTCCCAACCCTTTACCCACGTGAGTTTTCCCCACACCCATCCTCACGTGCACATACGTGCACTGCTCAGCAGCTCAGCACGCCCGTATACGCCCGTCCTGTCGTAGTAGGAAACCACAGGCGGCCACCACATCGATGCATTCCTGCGCGGGTTTGCCGAAGGTCTTCAGCTCAGTGATGGAGGCCTCACCGTGACAAGCCGTGACCCAAGATGACCCAAGCACCGTGCAGAAGCTAAAATCAGCAGGAGGCCTGTTTTTCTCGGCTGTTCATCTCAAAATCTATCAGCAATCCTTGCTACATCTTGCTACGAAACAAGACATATGTTTGTCTTTACCACCAAACAGATCAAAATTATCCAAACATTTATTGCTGAGATTTATGGTGACGTCAGGAAAAGAATCGCAAAAAAAAAGCCAAATCGCCTTGTCGAGGCAGTCCACAGCCGCTTTAGCCTGCGAAGAGCTATGAGATGTTCACCGAAAAAATGGAACTTCAAGGGTGAATATAAGGCCTATGAATGACCCATAAATGATGTATTTTGATTATATCACTCGTCAATTTCATGGGAGTTTACATTAGAAGTAAAGACATGCTTTGCGTCATGTTTAGCGGATTCATATAATTGAGTGTCACTGTGCAACTTGTCGGATATCAGAGAGCCTTCCCAAGTATGTTGCAACGGTAGCTTTTGATGTAATCAGGTCTCACAGCACAGAAAATCGGGCACTTGCTGGTTGGATGTCCCAAAGATCCGGAGAACTGCCAGTTGGATTTTTTGATCGTGCATGGATGTGCGCTTGAAAAGGGATCGGCGGTACCTGCTTCATCCTGCTTCCATGGTTGTTTCTCTTTGCATTTGACGGATACATGATACATACGTATACCGTATACCGCATACTATATATCCTATATGAATGATACATCATATTTCACTGCGACTCACCAAAACACAGCCCATCGCTGAGCCTTCTCCATAGCCGGTAGCGCTTCTTCCAGCTCATTGTCTGCCTGACCCAACTGCTCTACTGTTTATCCTTCAGTTTG